ATATGTGTGTGTGTGTGTGTGTATATATATATATGTGTGTGTGTGTGTGTGTATATATATATGTGTGTGTGTGTGTGTGTGTATATATATATATGTGTGTGTGTGTGTGTGTATATATATATATGTGTGTGTGTGTGTGTATATATATATATATGTGTGTGTGTGTGTGTGTATATATATATATGTGTGTGTGTGTGTATATATATATATATATATATATATGTATGTGTGTGTGTGTGTGTAACAAGTATGTCTCTTATCACTTCTAACTCAGATGTTTTTGTATAAAATTTCTAATGTTGTCATTGATATGGTACTTGTTTTTTCTTTCATCTTTCTATTCTAGCACCAAGTCTTAATTTTCATTATTTTTGTGTGTTTTATTTGTCTTTTACTTAATGTTTTTGATTTAACTAAGTAGCATGAGTAGTTTGTCTTGCATGTAATTTCTTGATTTCTGGTTCATGTTTTGCAGCATGATGGCCTTGCAGCCACAAATGATTCCCAGCTAACTTTTTCACAGCCTGCTTTATCTCTCTGCTCAGTAAGTTATAATTCCTATTCTCAGTCTCTCATTAATTATAACTCGGAGAGATCTTTGGAAATTCCTGAAAGAAAAGCTGAAAAAGATAATGTAAAAGATTCTTCGTGTAAGTCTAATCATATGACAGAAAATTGTAAATATAAACTGTTTAATCAAGATGATTTTGAACAAAAAGTTGGGGACAAACACAAAAAGCCGTGAACCTCTGTTAAGAACAAAGTCTCTTCCTGTGGGTGGACAAGGTATTTTTAACATAAACTTTACTAATCCTGGTTGTGTGCAGAAAAGGAAGTACACATTTAGGCAGAAATCATGTGTTGAGTTTGTTGATTTGAATGAACTGGTAGAAAATAAAGAACATGAAGAACAAAGAAGTTCTCAGGTGAAAAGAAAGAAAAATGTGAAAAAGAACATGAAATCAGACATATGTCATTCAGAATGCTTGCATGATGATGTTATTGAAGGGTGTTTTGTTATACAAGTGGTGGAAGTATTCCCAGGTCTTATTGAAGGGTGTTTTGTTATACAAGTGGTGGAAGTATTCCCAGGTCTTATTGAAGGGTGTTTTGTTATACAAGTGGTGGAAGTATTCCCAGGTCTTATTGAAGGGTGTTTTGTTATACAAGTGGTGGAGTAGTTTTTACTCACCGTGAACTTAGTACTTGTACTTTTTTCATGTTCAAAGTTGTGTTATCAGCCATTGTTTACAGAAAATTGGATACCACATTATTTATTGGTGTTACATCATTTTTCAGTTTAGTTTGAAGATGTTTTCAGATGTAACCTATTTTCTTACGTCACCATAGATTTTATGATTACTTTTTGCCTGTCATATCTTCTTTGATTCCTTTCTTTTACATTCATTATAATTAGTTTAAGACTCTATTTTTCTTTATCATTGTATCCAGCTGTGTAGGTGTTTTCTTTGTATTGGCGGTCATATCTAGCCTTTTTTTATTATTATTTTAACCATTGAATCATACTTGATCTGTCAGTTATGTTTGTGGTTGTAATACCAGTCAGGCTTCTCAGTTTTAATTGTCATAGATTGCATAAATCCTAAGTTTTTTTCTGTATAGCTAGCCTTGTTTCTTTAATTGTTATTATACGTAATATATTACTTTCCTGTTTAACTTTCAGACATTTCCTTAACCTGTCTCATTTAATCAGCAGTTGTTACTTTGCCTGATGTTTCCCAGATAAAATGACACAATAATTATTATATAAAGTAAAAAAAAAGGACATAACAAATGATACTAAATCGCAAGTCATTACTTGTATGTTTCCATGCATTTGTTAATGACCTATTACTCATTTGTATGTTTCCATTAATAAGGGAATGACATTTTGGTTTCCTTATACAAATTTTGCAATAATAGCTCTTCTAATTTAAACAGGACTTTTTGGAATGGGTTTCTTTAGAAGCTACTCATGATTCAGTTAATAATGCAGCAACAGTACTTGACTTTAAAGACCTTCGAGCTGAAGCTAACCTCCATCAACATTTGAGGAACGAGTGTTTTCAGAAAGCAAGAGAAGCGTATCGTCGTGGGATGAAAGCTGTTGCTTCGTTCTACTCCCAGCAGGTTCGTGTTTATTTATCAGAATAAATATAAACGTTGTTTCCATACCACAGTAGACAGTAACAATGTTTACATACTACAGTAGATAGTAACAGTGTTTGCACACCACAGTAGACAGTAACAGTGTTTACACACCACAGTAGACAGTAACAGTGTTTACACACCACAGTAGACAGTAACAGTGTTTACACACCACAGTAGACAGTAACAGTGTTTACGCACCACAGTAGACAGTAACAGTGTTTATGCACCATAGTAGATATTAAAAGTATTTACATACCACTGTAGACAGTAATGGTGTTTACACACCACAGTAGATATTAAAGGTGTTTACTTTGCCCACACTGAGTAAACAGTACAATAACTAAGTATTAGAATGTTCATTACTCCAGTGTTACATGTACAACATTATATTTTTCAGTATCCAGAGTTAAAACTACAGAATTACAAAGAAAAATAACATTTATGGTATAAAACTTTAACCATCCGAGAAGCACAAAGACATCTTCAGAGTTGTATCTACAAGACTCTCAAATCCTTGCATTCTGCTCATTCTTGGCTTTTTCAACTGTTCTTCATCTCTATGTTGATATGCAAACACTACATTCAAATAAAATCAGTTTGATCCTAAAACATTGTGTTGGTACGGCAGTACTACGCTCCATTAGTACAATATGAACAATGCTCAAAATCTTCCTAGATGCGTTATCTTACATGTGTGGATAGTTACTTACTTCAAAATTGAATAGATATCTGATTCTAAAAGACATGAAGTATGTGTACAGAAATTATCTACCTTTTTAATATACTAATAGGAATGTCATGTACAAGTAAACTACTGTTACAGGATTCTAGGGTTGACCACATTGCTCAATGTGTTACAAAAAATGTTATCTGTAAAACTAATTAATTTCATTATATTTAAAAACTTTTTTTATATATTTATTTCATATAGAGTAAGATCATGTAAGTACAAAGTATTAACACTTTTACTGAAAAACTTACAGAAAACAGCTGAGAGAGTGTTAATTTACTGTACGCATGTTCTTCAAATAGTGTTGTTAATTATGTACAAATGTTTCCAGAAAACATAATATTTACATTGATGTTAAAATTTTATACTTGTCATGAAAATACTACAAACATTAATTAATGTGATCTCATTTTTAAAAAATGGAACTAATAAAGTGACTTGAAATCATTGTGACATTGTTCCAGTGATAAGTCGTAAATGAATATAAATGATGCTCACTAGCCCACTCATGGGTCTTTTTGAAGAGTTTCTGGTACATTTAAACCACAAACTCTGTTTATGTCAAGCTTGCCCATACTGCAGTTCACATAACATCCATTTCAACAATAAAGTCTGTTTATATCAAGCTTGAGATCTACAAGTTTGTCCCTACTACAGTTCACGTCACATCCATTTGGCCCATAAAGTCTCTTTTATGTCAAGCTTCAGATCTACAAGCTTGTACCTAGTGCAGTTCACATCAGATCCATTTCAACAATAAAGTCTGTTTATGTCAAGCTTGAGATCTACAAGCTTATCCCTACTACAGTTCACGTTACATCCATTTGGCCCATAAAGTCTCTTTTATGTCAAGCTTCAGATCTACAAGCTTGTACCTAGTGCAGTTCACGTTACATCCATTTCAACCGTAAAGTCTGTTTATGTCAAGCTTCAGATCTGCAAGCTTGTACCTAGTGCAGTTCATATCACATCCATTTCAACCGTAAAGTCTGTTTATGTCAAGCTTCATATCTGCAAGCTTGTACCTAGTGCAGTTCATATCACATCCATTTCAACCGTAAAGTCTGTTTATGTCAAGCTTCAGATCTGCAAGCTTGTACCTAGTGCAGTTCATATCACATCCATTTCAAGCATAAAGTCTGTTTACATTAAGTTTCATATCTACAAGCTTGTTCCTGATGTGGCTCACATCACATCCATTTCAACTATTAAATATGTTTACATCAAACCTGAGATCTACAATTTTGTCTGTAGTGCAGTTGACATCACATCCATTTGAACCACAAAATCTGTTTACATCAACTTGTTTCTAGTTTAGATCACATCCCATCAATTTTTACCATAAAGTGTGTTTACATAAAGCTTGAGACCTACAAGCTTGGACCTCATGTAGTTCATATCACATCAATTTCTCTTGAGCATTTCCTGGAAATAACTCAACAAATTATCACACCATCTTCTTCATATGTAATCATCTTTTTCATAAAAGTCATTTTAATCTGGTTAAGTTACGTAATTTAGATTTGTGAACTGTTTTTCTGATCCGATTCCAACATTCTTAACTCATTCTCTGTCTTGCTACTTTCTTTCACATGTCTAAGCTCATTTCCATGGTGTTCCTTTCCATTGGCAAAACCCTTTTTAAACTGTTTCACATTTGGTCCACTTAATTTCACTCAGAGTTGAAATATTCTTGTTGCATAGGTATCCTTGTAAGATTCATTATTTTCAAGACTTAAGTTGAACTATTGTTTCCTGTATGCATTAACAAGTGGAATATACCACTTGATGACTATCCATTTGTATAACAAAACACATGGGAATAATTCCAGCAGGTGTGTAACAAAACACCCCTCAATAAGACCTGGGAATACTTCCACCACTTGTATAACAAAATAACCTTCAATAAGACCTGGGAAGACTTCCAGCATTGTCCGACACATACTAAGAAGTCTTAATTTACTGTAACAACAGACATCCATTTGTACGATAAAACATCCCTCTATAAGATCTGAGAATACTTCCACCATTTCTATAACAAAACACCCCTCAATAAGACCTGGGAATACTTTTTGTAACATCTGTCATTCATATTAAGGATGAATTTGCTTCTATTTTTACTGAGTTTTGTGTCACATCCAGTTACTTTTGAGCTAATTTTGGGGCTAAAAATGAACTATTAATGTTATTACAAACAGAAAGCAAAAGATGTAGAAACAGAGTTGAATAAAAAATTGGTATGTAACTATCCTCAAAGCAAACGATAAATCTGAAACTAACTTCATTGCAAACAATGCAAGTGAAATTAACATAAAAGCAAACAATGCATGTGAAATTAACCTCAAAGCAAATGATGGATTGAAACTATCCTCAAAGCAAACAGTAAATCTGAAACTAACTTCATTGCAAACAATGCAAGTGAAATTAACATAAAAGCAAACAATGCATGTGAAATTAACCTCAAAGCAAATGATGGATTGAAACTATCCTCAAAGCAAACAGTAAATCTGAATATAATCTCAATGCAAATAACATATATGAAACTAACCTCAGCAAACAATGGATGTGATATATTAACCTCAAAACAAATAATGGATTGAAATTAACCTTAAAAAACAACAGATATGAAAGTAACTTCAATACAAAGACATAGCTTAAAGAAAACAATGGATAAAGAACAAACTAAAGATGTAAGTTTAACTTATAACCAAGCTTCAAGATAACAACGAGTGCAGAACCAAATACAGAGTGATCATAGCTTAAAGAAAACAATGGATAAAGAACAAACTAAAGATGTAAGTTTAACTTATAACCAAGCTTCAAGATAACAACGAGTGCAGAACCAAATACAGAGTGATCATAGCTTAAAGAAAACAATGGATAAAGAACAAACTAAAGATGTAAGTTTAACTTATAACC